AGAACTTAGAGTGAGCTCCTTGGATGCCACCAGCACCACCTCTGAACTCCTGTCCCTGGTTTTACTGGTAATCCTTCATCCTGTTACCATCACAGAAATCTGCTCAGAAGTCAGCAGCTGCAGTAGCTCATTGGCATCCAGAATCCAGCTTCTCTGTGACATCTTGCTTTGAGACTACATGATAGCATCTGTCTCTCTAACCATAGTTCCTAACTCCTGCTCTCCAACTCTTCTGAGACTTTCTCTGCTGGGTTACTGTTCTCTGAATGTTCTAGGGTAACCTCTAGGTTTACATGGGAATGTTTAAAGAGGGGGAAGAGGGCCTGGCTGTGAGGAAGGAAGGTCTAGAAGGGGGTCAGGCTATAATCCTCAGTCAGCTGGGGTCTGGAGCCTGTAGGGAGCCTCAGGAGAGGGCTGGGCAAGCTGGGTATGGGGAGAGGTGCTGGGGGTTTGTGTGGAATTGCTGAGGTGGTCTTGGAGGATGAGTAGGCTGCCTGTATCTTATAGGCATCTGGGGTTGGTTTGGATCACATCTCCAAAGCTGGCTCTGGCTTCTCTGAATCCCTGTCTTGTCTCCTCCATTCCTCATGCTCTCTATTCAGTCCTTCTAGGTCTTTGACTTTTTTATTTCTGTACTAGAACAGAAGCAAATGGTATATTTCCTCTTTCCTGGCATGGCAGCCCAAGATTTTCTGAGATCAGCCTGGACCTTTATGGGATCCCAAAGGGAAGTGGGGATGGAAATGGGACATTTAGGGCACAGAGGAATGATGAGGGAAAGGCAAGGGAAAGAGCAGGGTGCCTCTCAGGAGTGGGGGGCCCTCTTCCTTGGCTGAGGATGAGGCCCAGAGAGCCATTAGGCTGCAGGCTAAACTTAGAAGGTGGGAACACAAGGCTGGAGCTATGCCTGGTACTGCTACCCCATCACCCCTCACCCAAGCCCCTGCCTGTGGCATAGGGCAGGAAGGCTGACAGCTGCTTTTATAGGCTCTAAATTGCAAGCAGGTGACAATTAGCCTTCAGTAGGTCAAGGGGGACTGAAGATGATGCTCTGCCTTTTCCAGCTTTGAGAAACCCTCTGTGATCCCCTCAAAAGTGTTTTTCTAATTAATAGGACCTTATTCTTCTTCAACCTGTCAACCTCAACCTCTCTGAGACTCCACAATCGGGTCCCTTCCCCAGTAAATCCCTCTGATGGGCCTCTTCTTTTGGTTCAGTCTGACACAGAAACCCATGGGTTACTCATAGCTTCCTGCATCTGTGAGCTTCCTTGGGCTGTGAGCAGGACTTCAGAAGTTACATTTGTTAGGGGATTAAGGTGCTCCTTGCCCTTTCATACGGGCTCATGCACTTTTGAAGGCCTCCCTCAGACACTGGGCACATCAGTGTGTGCCACTAAGCTTCCAGAGCTTCCAGAGCTGAGCCAAACCTGGATTTAGCAGGTGGGGACAGGTATCTTTCTATATCATAAAGTATCATTTTTGATTACCTTGAGCCCTCTTGATCATATATTTCCAGTTGTGTTTTAACCCCAACCACACTGTCTTGACTTAAATCCCAAACTTAATTCAAATCCATTTGTAACAAATCTTAAATCAACTTCAACCCAGCCTTTGATTTACTTCAACCTGAATTCCTAAGCGTATCTGAGAATGACACTAAAAATGGTTTCTCATAGCACAAAGCCCAGCCTTAACTCCTAGCTGAAATTCTAACCTTAGTACTGACCTTAACTTTAATTCCAACCTCAAATCTGACCTCAACCTAATTCACAATTTCAGCTCATCTCAAATTTAACCCCAGGAGGAGCTGTCACGGCACATTAGCTCAACCCAGGAGCACAAATGTATCCCTCCAGGACAGTTTAGTGGAACCTCAGCTCTATCTCTTTCCACTTGCTCTCCTTCATCCTGGCCCTGCCTGCCTTCCCCTCCATTTACCACTGACCTTCCGTGCTTTCCTCTGAGGTGTTGTAGTCCATCTGGCTACCAAGCCCTCTTTTTGGACCACTTGGGGCTGAGAGTCAGGATGCCTGACTATCCTCTACTTGGCCAGTAGCTGCAACTGAACTGAATCTTTGTTTCTCCAGGGCTTCTATTTCCCTACCTTTAGAATGGGGATAATGAGCCCTGTTTTCCAGAAGGCTCAGGACAACCCCATAAATCTCAAAATAGATAAGGAAATAAGAATAACCACTGTGTACAACCGGAGGGCCCTGGAGCAACCTATTATTGCTGGCAGTTTGGGGGTTCGGAACACAGAGCTGCACGGACTCCTTATGCTTCCTTATTGCTCTGTCTTATTCTTCCGAGGGGGTGGGTCCTGGCAGCATTCCTCAGCCCGGTAACTCTCCTGAATTCTCTTCTCCCTCTGCCCTCCCTGAGTCCCAGGTCGGTCGTGGAATCCAGAGAAGGTTAAGGAACTTCCTGAACCTGTGTTGGTTCTCCTGAACCCAGCCAGGGGTTGGCCTTCCCCCTTCTGCCAGCTAAGACCCTCCCACCCCAGCTTCAACATACCTGCCTAGAGCTGTGCTGGCTTAACCACTGGGATGACTGGCTGCCCAGCGGAGGACAGTTCAGGCTTCAAGGGTCTTAGTTCTTAGGGGCTTATGAGCCCTGTTGACACTGAGCCTGCATTAAACCTTCAGGGCTACGATACCAAGAAATCAGCCCTTCTCCTATTTGCATATCCATGAGAGGTATACACACACACACACACACACACACACACACACACACACACACACGACCTCCTGCCCTGCCTACCTCAAATATTCCCCCAGAACACACAGTCCCTCACTCCCTCCACAAGCCCTGACCCCTTCAGGCCTCAGTGAACTGATTCAGATGAGTGAGCCGAAGGGGTCTAGACCCATCATAATAACTCACGCTCCCGGGAATCCTGGAACTTGGGGATGACCTTTGTGTCAGCAGTGATGGAGAAACAGTAGTAATGGAAGACCCCATTCTTACACACACCTCTTGTTTCCCTCCAGCCCAAGAGGCCCCACTCCCTTTGAAGGGACAGAGGGAAGTTACATTCCTGTATCTCCTGTTACCTGGGATTCCCTTCCCTGCCCAGCTCCCAGCATAACAGAAGGGTCTCCTCTCTGGTGCACTATCTTTTAGACCTGACCTGGGGAGCAAGGAATGCTTGAGGGGGTTGGGATCTGGAAATCTGGGTCTGCAATGGGGAAGGTGTGTCAGACTCTAGGATGCCTTTGGCCAATGTTAACCCTCCAGGCGCTGGCCATCCAAGTGCTGGCCATCCTTCCTCCACCCTCAAATCTGGCTTCTCCTTCCTCTTTCCCACTTCCCCCAGGGAAGGAGGCAACAAATGAGTGGTGAGGGGAGCTCTGTGGACGCTGTAAAAATGGGGCAACTGTTGTCACCCTGAGGACTTGGCCAGGAGGAAGTGGAGGTTTAACAGGTGCCTAATTACAAGTCCCGCTGGTCACCCTGCGCCGCTCTTGGGACAGGGAAGAGCTTGGGTGAGGGCTGGGTAATGCCTGGGTAGGCCATCCTGTCACCCTGCTAATTAGGGCTACTTGGGCTCCTCCCCAAGGCGGGGACCTGGCCCCCTCCCTCCTATAGAAATAACTCCGGCTGCTCCTCAGCTTGGCACTTATCGCACCTTCCTGCCACCCCGGGCAGTGTCTGGGCCCTCCGCTCCCCCTCCCTCCACCTGCCCCTTCCACCCACCACCACCAGCCCACTGGAGCCCAGCTGAGGCAGAAGAAAGACCAAACCTAGAGACATGGGAGTTCGAGGAGCATTCCATCTACTACTCGTGTGCCTGAGCCCAGGTATGGGGCTGGGCAGGGGCAGGGATGCCCAGCATTGTGCCAGAAGGTCAGGGATGAGTGAGGGCTCCATCACAGAGGAGCCTCACGAATGGAATGGTCGAAGAGGCACTGGTAGGAATGTCTACCTTCACTCTGCTGATACTCATTTGCACGGTGCCACAGGGACTTCTTCCCAGGAGAGTCCGTACCCGAAGCTGTGGGGCAAATGTCTGTGGACAGAGGCTTTGGAGCAGACCTTCATGGTAATCGTTAGCCTGTGTAGCTAACACATGTGTGCAGGTGCCCTTTGCGCTTTTCCCACGCCGGGAGCTAGAGACAGGGCTTGCTTGGAGATGTGGAGAGTTAGTTGTGGAAATTGCAGGTGGGGTAGGAGTCAGGTGAGCAGCAGCTCTGGGTGGGGGCTAAGGAGGAGCCTGTCAGAGATCTGTTTCTTTTAGACAGTCTGTGTGCTTGGCCCAGTGGAAGGGCCAGTTCTCCCAAGCTAGGGCATTGGGCAGGAAAGCTGTTTATGCTGGGTTGCTTCCTTCATAGCCAGTAAGAATCCAGGGTGGACCTCTGTTCTGGGCCCCAGGTGCCATAAGAGTCCACGGGTATTGCCTCTTCCGGGATGAGGCTGAGAGGATGTGGACAGGATGGATGGTAAACTCCCAGAGCCCCTTCACCTCTCTGGTGAAGGGACGGCTTCAGGTTTGGATACTATGGCTTCCTGCCCAGGAATGGGCAAGTTGCAGCAAGGGACATTCTGTTGAGGATTGCTGAAAATAGCATGGCGCCTTTTCTGGGGTCTAGATGTAGAATAAAGGATATGAAGAAGGAGACTGGGAAGGGATGCTGTAGGGAGACTTTCATCCTGTTTCTGTGTATGAGAATATGTGTGCCCGTGTGTACGTATATGGGTGATGGTTGCATTTCTGGCAAGATCAGCACTGCACCCTTTGTCTGCTGGGAACCTCTCAGGCAGTGCCCACTTAGAAAGACCTGACTGTGCCAGGAGAGCTGTGGCATTTCCATGTGTGCTCTATGTGTGTGAGGGTATGGGGGCTAGAGGGTTGCCGTGTGGAGTCATGTGTCAAAACTTTCTCTGAGCTGCCTTTTTTTTTTCCTTTTCCCTTCCCAGTCTGAAATTAGCTTGAAAATTCAGAATACTTTTTTTTTTTTTTTAAAGCTGAGAACAGACGCTTGCTGAGGTGGCATCCCTCACAGAGGGTGGTCAGCCCTGGTGATTTTAGAAGGGGCAATCACCAATTCCTTCCACAGCCTCTTGACTGCCCAGTGTCCCTCTCTCCCCAAGTCTCCCTACCTAGGATTCTTTTCTGCACCGACTCTCACCCTGCTTCTTCCTTCCACACAGCCTCCTTCTTCTATTGCATTCCCTGGAAACCCTTCCCCAGTGTCACAGCAAGATAAACCAGAGTGATATGCCAACAACTTTCCAAGGGGTGGGAGGAGGAGGCACAACAAGTCTGGAGCCCTAGGGAGGATAGGGTGAGTCTCCGTGGCCAGAGACAATTGAAGCAATACAGCCCAGTGCAGGGTGGAGACATTTTTTTCCAGCTTGTCCCAGTAAAGTCCCCCAAGCCCTTTTCTCTGCATACTTACCCTCTGCCTGGCTGACCTCCTTAGTTTGGGGCAGGGGAATCCTCCCTGTTGTCAGCTGTTTCCAGTGGCTCAACCTCAGGGTGGAGCCTCTGCTCTCAGCAGAATTCTAGCTCATCTCTGGCTTGCTTCTCGATGCCCCAGGATCTGGCAGATGGCATCAGGATCCTTATCTTAGGAATGAGCTGGTATTCTCCTGGCCTAAGGCTGGAGGAGGCATCTCCAGGTCCCGTTAGAGTCCCAGAAGCTAGGCTGCCTGTTCAAGGTCAAGTCGGATTCTATCAGGTTACGGCATGTACTTAGGCTAGCCACGGTTTAGAGGGGCCAGGTCTGGTGACCCTTGGGATGTTGGGGAAAATGTAAGGCCCTTGCTTGCTTCTTCAGAGCCAGGCTACACTTGGAACTCAGGGCTTCTGTAGATATGTCTGGTCTTGAATGGACGCGCAGGAAGCCACAAGAGCGTGCAGTGGGTGTGTCTTAGATTAATGTGTACTCTGCCTGTGAATGTGTCTGTGTATAGATTGGATAGTTTTTGTTTATAAGAAAGAGGGGACTGCACAGGCATATATTCACATTTTGAGGGCTTGAAAGAACATGACTGAGTCTATTTGTTTTGTTCAGGACAGTGTGTTCTTCTCTCTCTCTCTCTCTGTGTGTGTGTGTCTGTGTGTATGTATGTGTGTATGAGAGAGAGAGAAAGAGAGAGAGTGAGAAAGAGAGAGAGGAGTAGGGAGAGATTCCCTGAGATTTGGTTCTCCAAAGAGCATGTTTTACCCAAAAAGGCCATCCACAGAGAAGCTTGGTGAGGGGTTTGAAGAAGAAGTATTGCAGAGACTGGGGAGGTAGGGAGCTGTGTGTCTAGGGTGGAGCCCTGGGTTCACTCCCCCCCTTTATTCTTCTCTAGGTCTAACCGGTTGGGGCCAGAGCTTGCCTGAGGCTTCAGGGTAGGGAGGGGGAGGAGCTCAGTCCTAAGCTTCCTGATCTGGCTCCAAACCCTGGGCTCCTGCTCTGACTCAGTAGCAGGAGGGGCCCCAATGGGAGCAAGCAAGTGGGAGAGATACACTAGAGGCACACAATCACACAGAGCAGGACCCGCAGTTCACCCTACCAGGCTCATTCTACCTATATAAGCTGCATAGACAAAGGCAGGCACGTGACCATGGCCAGGCTCTAGGTCCCAGCTGCCCAGTGCCAGGCAAAGGCGCGCATTGTCACTTAGAACACTTATATAGTCAGCATACATCATTATACACCACAGACACACACAAGCACACATACACAAACTATACACAGCTATGCTTGCTTTTATGCTTTTCAGGGTGGAAAAGGACCCCAGCAGTCACTGTGTCCACTCTCCTGCTTCTGGCTGGGGCACTTCACTTGACCCAGATAGAGCCTAAACAGCCCGTACAGGTTGATTTTAAACAGCCTGTTTCCTCCAATAGAACATCTAACAGCTGGGTGTTGCACACACACACACACACACACACACACATAATGCCCACATTATCATGTAAATAAGAAGGTAAATATCCTGTATGGTCATATGCACGAACATCTTTGCAGCTACAATGCACACTTGCGTGCTTGCACATGCAAAAGCATAATTATGTATGGACATAAATATGACACGAGCTCTGTGTACGTGAACAATGCTCAAATGCACATCTACACAAGTCTAGAGTATATATACAAGTTCACAAGAGTGCTCGGAGACTGCCGTAAGAATAAACAAACAACATAAGTATTGCTCATGTCAGCACACACACACACACACACACACACACACACACACACACACACCCCCTCATGCCTATAGAAGCCCCATGAGCCTGGTTGGTAGGCAGCAGAATGATGGAGACTGACTACTCAAGCATCGTTTTCTGTTCTCTCCTTCTCACCTGCTTTACCCTTCACCAGCACTGTTGTCTGCTGTAAGGATCAACGGGGATGGCCAGGAGGTCATGTATCTGGCAGAAGGTGACAATGTGAGGCTAGGCTGCCCCTACATTCTGGATCCTGAGGACTATGGTCCCAATGGTCTGGACATTGAGTGGATGCAAGTCAATTCAGAGCCCTCACATCGGGAGAATGTGGTAAGTGCTTGGCACAGGGTTCCCTGTATTCTGTGATGTCAACGTGATGGGAAGCCAACGGCCTGAGGGAGGAGGAAGGCAAATGAGGAAACCAAGGTTTTAAATTTCCTCCAAGATCTCTCAGGGAATGAGGCAACAGGGATAAGAGCCATCCAACTGGGAATCAAGCCAGCCAGTCACTCATTCCACCTCCTTGAACCCCATATCAAGGTGTGGGGAGATTGTGGCCCCTGCCTTTAGAATTTCTCAGTCTGACCTTATACTTTGCCAGAATGTCTAATCTCATCTTCTCTCATTCATTCTGTGAGTGGTCAGCAAGCCTGCCACCATCATTCCCATTTTTTAGCTAAGAAAACTAAGTCTTGGAGAAGGTCAGTGACTACTCACATGACCTTTCCTTGGCTCAGTTTGTCTCATAGCTGTTTCCTCTCTTCTTCACAGTTTCTTACTTATCAAGATAAGAGGATCGGCCATGGCAACCTCCCCCATCTACAGCAGAGGGTCCGCTTTGCAGCCTCAGACCCCAGCCAGTACGATGCCTCCATCAACCTCATGAACCTGCAAGTGTCTGACACAGCAACCTATGAGTGCCGGGTGAAGAAGACCACCATGGCCACCAGGAAGGTCATTGTCACTGTCCAAGGTATGGCCAGATTCTTCAGGGGCTCCCCCTTCCCAGGCTTCAGAGCCAAGGATGGACTGGCCACCGTGAGCCAGGCTCTGGCTTTTGGCTGAGTCTGGGCTTCTAACCACCTGCCTCGTTACAGCACGTCCTGCGGTACCCATGTGCTGGACTGAGGGCCACATGTCAAGGGGCAACGATGTGGTGCTGAAGTGTTTTGCCAATGGAGGCTCTCAGCCCCTCTCCTACAGGTGGGCCAAGATCAGTGGGCACAGCCATCCCTACCGAGCTGGGTCCTACCACTCTCAACACAGCTTCCACTCTGAGCTTTCTTACCAAGAGTCCTTCCACAGCTCCATCAGTCAAGGTGAGGGGGCCCAGCCAAGGGAGGGCGCTGGGGCCTGCTGGGACTTCCATGGTTTGTTGGTGGTACCGAGTCAGACAGTCAGACCCAGCACCCCTGTGAGAGACTGCTCATTTGGGCATGTCCCTGCAGCTGCTGTTGAGGGAGGGAGAGAAGATACACAGGGGATGGGTGTCAGTTAAAAGCAGCATGGTTAATTTGGAGAGTTCCAAGGAAGAGCTGGGCTTGAATCCTGGCCAGGATGCTGATTGGTAGTAAATCTCAGGGGAGTGGCTTAACACTTCTCTGACAGATGGAAAAAGGATTACTTACTAGTAACTACCACCCACTGGCCTGCAAGGATTAGATGGGATGAGCTGCGTGAGGGTCCTGGCCCTTGGAGAAGCTGAATAATAACCACAATCAAAGGGTAATAGAGCTAGAGGGTGCCTCAGAATTCCTGGTCTAATTCTGTCTTCACTGTTCAAAGGAGGAGACCAGTACTGAGTCAGAATGCATTTCTCTAAGGTCACAGAGAATAAATGGTGACTCTGTCTTCTTTCTGAGAGGGGTGTCCTTCCCTGTTCTTCTGTGTCAGCAAGGGCAGTGTGGGTCAGATTTAGAGTGGAGTAGACTTGTGAATACTTCTATACACTCTCCTTGTTTGCTTGTTTGTTTGGTTTTTTAGAGTGGCATTCCATCCTCTATCCCACAGAGGCTGGGCCAGGGTAGGAGCTCTCAGGGACCAGTTTTCTCTGTCTCAGTACGGCTCTGATGCTCCTTCCATTTCAGGCCTGGGCAATGGAGACCTGGTATTGAAAAATATCAATGTAGACGATGATGGGCTGTATCAGTGCACAGTGGCCAACCACGTGGGCTACAGCGTCTGTGTGGTAGAGGTTAAAGTCTCAGGTAGGTACAGCAAGCTCCGACAGTCCCCTGGCTTGCACTCGGGGTGGCGGTGGGGGTTGGATTGCAGTTACCTAGGCTCTATTTTGGAGCCTCAGCTGGTTGCCTCACAGCTGCTGTCAGGCTAGGCCTTTGTCTAGAGCAGCTGGAAGCCACCTGCAGATTCGCTTAACCTTCACCTTCCTACATCTTCCTTACTGGGCTTTCCAGGGCCCTGGGTGTCCCCCCCCCCCATAGACATCTGCCCTGGCATGTGCCAGGCTGTCAGAAGCCTGACTTGCCTCCACTTCTCTCCACAGACTCCCAGCGTGTAGGCATGATCGTCGGCTCAGTGCTGGGCTCTCTGCTCATGCTGGCCTGCCTGGCGCTAGGCATCTGGGGGCTCATCTGCTGCTGCTGCGGAGGCAGCGGGGCTGGTGTTTCCCGCGGTGCCTTCGGCTACGGGGTCGGCGGCGGGGTCGGCGGAGGGGCCTGCGGCGACTTGGCTAGTGAGATCAGGTAAAACCTGATGCATGCTGCATGCTGCTGCACGGCGGGGGACCGGCGCCCTGTCCTCTTCACCCCTGCCTGCCATCGGCCGGCTGGGAACCCCATTCCAAACCTGCCCGCCATCGCCATGGAGTGCTGGGACTTCAGCATGTCGACCCGCCCACTCGCCGCATGGCTTTTCTGTCTTTCCCCTCCCCGCTTCCAGTCTTCACCTCTGCTCCTTGCTTCCCCTTTCCTCCCTGTCGTCTAAGCATCATGCCTCGGTCTGTCTGGCCTAGACTGTAAGCTCCTGGAGGGCAGGGACCGTGTGTTTTCACCTTTCCTTTGTATTGCGCCGGCCAAAACCTCAACATGCCTATTCAAGAAGAGTTAACACCAATAGTGCTAATAACATACTAGAAGCAAACTAGAAATAAAAATAGAACAAGTGTAGCAGTGCTAATGATTGCAATGCCTTGGGGACAGAGGGAAAGAAGAGTGAGGGACAGGAGGCGAGGAGAGCTTGCCAGAGCGCAGGGTGAGGGTTAGTCAAGGAAAGGAGGGATACAGTTCCCGGATCACTAAGGTTCCATTCCAGCCAAACACTAGAAAGGGACCGACGGCGCCCGACTGGGCGTCTGCCCGCAGTGAGCTGGGACACTCGAGGACAAACCAAGTCTGAAGGATAGGGATGGTGGCATGGGGGCGCTGCAGGGTCGCTGGCCCAGGAACGTGCAGAGAGGAGAGTAGGCTGAGGTCCAGAGAGCGAAGAGAGAGGGAGAGGTGAGGGGCAGGTGGAGGGGGGCGAGGGAGATGAGAGGTTGCCAAGAGCCCCCAGCTCTGCCCAGGCCGTGCCAACGCCGCGCCGTGGAGGAGCCAGCTCACGCGCCCGCCTGTTGTTTTCCAGAGTGGACGCCGAGGCGCCCGGGTGCAAGGCCAGCGGGCGCGGCAGCCGCGTCACCCACCTCCTGGGGTACCCGACGCAGAACGTCAGCCGCTCCCTGCGCCGCAAGTACGCGCCTCCGCCCTGCGGCGGCCCCGAGGACGTGGCCCTAGTGCCCCGCACCGCCTCCGCAGCCTGCGAAGCGGGCCCCTCCCCTGTCTACGTCAAGGTCAAGAGCTCGGAGCCGGCCGACTGCGCCGACTGTACCCAGGTCGAGCAGCGGTCGTGCAAGGACGGCCTCTTGGTGTGAGCGCGCAGCACCGGGCTGCGCCCCGGCTGGGAGGCGGTTCGGAGCTCTCCGCCCGCAGCTGGGGACAGGTTCCGGCCGGCAGACCTGGCTCTCGCCGGCCGCCTAGCGGCAGAGAGTTCAGGGGAATTTCCCTCAGGGATGCCTAGTGGGGCAAAAGCCTTCTCCCCCAAGTGGGAGAGGGCTGGGGCACAGAGGAAGACAGTTCAGAGCCCCACCCCCGTCACCGGTGGGCTCCAGGGAGCAGAAGGGAGGAAAGACGTTGGTATCCCAGAACCTCAGAGGTACAAGCCAGGTGTCCCCAGCCAAGGCAGAGGGCCCCTGGCCTTGGGTAGGTGGGGTTCAAGGCTGAATTGTTCTGTGTGTGAGATTTGAGCTCCGAGGCAACAGTGTTAGCACAATAAAGAAGTTTAAAGACGAAGCGGAGGTGGCTGTCCAGCGTTCTACCGAGGACTGGGCGTGGGGCGGGGAACCCTGACAGGTTGCTCCTTGCTCCCTCCCCTCCTCTGAATCCTCTGCTTCCCCCTCCTAAAGGGAAAGCCACATCTGGGAGGGAACATCCCAGTCCTATTCCTTCACAGAACGAATGGGAAAACTGAGGTCCTTCAGAACGGACTTTAACATTTCAAAGCCATCTTTTCCCTTTTTATTCTAGAAGGGGAAACAAATGAGAGTGGGTGGGTGTTAGAGGTGACCCCTGCTGCATGTTCCCGGACCATCTCAGCATCCTCCTTTCTCCATCCATCTACCTAACCCGAACTTCTTCATCTCTCCCAGGTATACGCCTGCCTCCCTTTCCAGCAGCCTCCCCCTTCCAGGAAGGGGGTCTAAACTCATTCAGACTCTGGGGTAGGAGGACCTGAGGATATCTAGTTCCGTCCCTTCTTTGATGGGAAGATTAAGTTTATGAGACGCCCACTAAGTGCCAGGTGCTTTCAAATATTCTCTTGTACTTATCTGTTTAGTTCTGTGAGGCTGTGCATCATTCCTATTTTACACAAAAGAAACTGAGTTTCAGGAGGATGAAGTATCTCAACAGAGGCAAAACCAAGACCAAAATAAAACGCCCCCGCCCCGCCCACCACCACCAACAGGATTTGGTTTAGGAACAGTTGACTTCAGGACATCAGGCTGTTCTCTGATAGCTGAATTCCTTGTGTAACATTCCTGATGAGGGCGATCCCAACCGGCTTCTGGCCTGCCCACCTTCAGGGGCAGCTCACTGCCTCCCAAAGCACGAGCCTTTGGTTGTCAAGATCTCATAGAATATTCCTCCTAGTGACAGTGTGTACCCTTTTATCCCCTGGTCCAAGATCTGCTTCTGGGGAGTCCAGAACATCATATTTCAACTCAGCTGCCTCCAGTGGATTACATGGCTGTATTTCACAAGGACACCTTCGTTTTGCCTGCCTCTCCCCAGCTATGTGCTTGTTGAGAGCCTAGACTCTTCTTTTGTTTCTCTTCTCCTCAAAAGAAACTGATCACCCTTGTCCTCTTCCTGTCCTAGGGCAACATAAAGTAGGTGTGTATAAGGCTTAGAGTATCCTGCCTGGTAGAAAATAACCTGGAATCCTCTGAGATGGCCCGGGGTTTGTCAAGGGGTGGCTGAGACAGTTCTCCATTCCCTGGTTGGCAAGATGAATGAGAGAGAATGAATGCTGGGACAAAGAGAATCAAAGACTGCTTGCCTAGGAGTGGGGGATGGGAATTGGGGGCTGTACAGGGGATACAGGGGAAGGAGAGTTAAGTAGGGAGGGAGTAAAGAACCCATCAGTCACTTGGTCATGTTTGTGAGTGCCTTTCAAATGACTTATTCATAGATAGAGTTAGCTTTCCAGCAGGGCACTGTGCCCGGCACACTTTTGCCCTAAGGCAGCTGACTGATGAAGATGACATGAGGAAAAAGGTGTTCCCACTCCGAGGAACTGCCAGCCCAGCCAGCCTCCTGCAAGGTGGTGAGGAGCTGAGGCAGCCATGTGGCTTACAGGGTGTGTTGAGTGACATCCTTTTCCCCATTCTGGGAATGGGGGAGCCATGCTGACTTAGACTCAGCTTTCATTTGAGCAGTGAAAAATGTGAGTTGAGGCTCTGGCAAGAAAAACCCATTATGAAGTAGCAAAAGAGGTTTCAGCAAGACTCTGGCAACAACTTCGGTTTGGGGGGGGTCATCTGGGAAGAGAGGGGAGTTTCTAAGTGTACAGGAAAGGAAGCTTAACTTTTCCAACGTTTGATTTACTTCCAGAACTCCTGGTTCTTTCCCCTCATTTCTTCTGCGTGCAACCTGTTTGGTTCGGGAAGAGATATGGGAAGAAGGCAGATACAAACATGTTGAACAATGGATTTGGGAGTGGGCCAGACTGGGCGGAGTCACAGAAGCTTTGATCTGTAGCATTTATCTTCTGCAACAAAAATACTCCCACAGTTCAATATCCAAACTGCCAACATAATGTTAGTGGCCTGAGGTTGGGAGAAATGTTGGAGATGGCATACCATTGCACCATTCCACAATTTAGATACAGTAGGAAAAAGAAAAAAAAAAGATGGATAACCAAAAGTGGTGAGGTTTTAGTACTTAGCATATCTATTGTGATACAACTCCTTTCTAGGATTGACTTTCAATGGCTGGCCCTATTAGCTAGCTGGCTTGTGAAATTTAGGTGGGCCATATCACCATGTGTCCTCTTCAGCTTTGATTCACTATGACAAATTTCCTGAGATAATGAACTTTGAAAGAGGAAAAGGCAGTTTTGACTCACAGTTCTGAAGATTTCAGTTTATGGCTGCTTGGCTTCCCTGCCTTTAGGCCCTTGGGGAGACAGCACATAGTTGTGAGAACACAGCAGAGAAAGATGTTCATTCCTTAGAGTTGGAAAGCGACGAGAAAAAGCAAGAGGAGGAATTGGGTATGCCCCAAATGTCTTAGCTTCCTTCCACTAGCCTCACCTAAAGATTCCACCATCTTCCAGGGGTGCCAGAGACTAAAATCAAGCCGGTAACACCCAGTTAGTGACTTTGGTGGTCACTAGTCCAAACAGCAATACCAGGCAAACAGCTGGCTAGGCAGAGACACTGCTTCTGAGGGGAAATTTAAGACAGTTCTGATTTACTGTTGTCTGTCCAGAGACACAAATAGCACAAATTCACCTATTTCCATTCCTCTTTCCATTTCTATCTTTTGCACCCCTTCCCAGTCTTGCCAGGACTGAAGAATTATGTAGATAACCGACATCTCCTTGGTAACACACACCACTCTCTTGATAGCCGTTAGGAAGTCAATTTGGCATCCACAAAGTTTGCATGAATTTTGCCTTCCAGTGCAAGTGATGGTGAGGCATCTCTGCTGGAAATGCTCCTGAGTCTTCATTCACCCATCCCTTCTGACTTCCCTCCCCAGCTCTGAGATATAGAGTCAGTTCTCAAGCCCACGTATGGGAGGCCTCCCAGGAATCACCCACACATTCCTCCAAGAGTGACCATGACCATGTAGGCTGCACACTGCACTTTTACTGCCCTAGGTCAAGTCTAGGTCCAACTAAACTCTCTCCTCTCTCTCTCTCTCTCTCTCTCTCTCTCTCTCTCTCTGTGGTGTGTGTCTGTCCCTCTGTCTCTGTCTTGCTATCTCTGCCTCTCTTTCTGTTTGTTTTTCCCCACTTAATTACTGTGGGATGAGGTTGTGACCTGTCTGGAGGTAGATGAAAGACTGATCAAGACTTCAGATCTGCCTCCTAAGCTTCCTGGGGCCTTCTTCCTGGCTTGATGGGAGCCTGGAAAATCCTGCTCCCATCAAGGACACAAATTTAATTCCATTTAGTTCTTTGTTCTTATTTGTTAAATTAATTTTTGCACAATTGTCTCTGTTTATGAAAAACCATTTAAGTCTAACAGAAAAGTATTACAGTGTATCTCAGGCCACCAATTTTTTGTTTGTTTGTTTTAATGTGACCCAAATCACAGGGCTGTCACGTATACTTTGAGGGTCAAATCTGTCCCATGAGCTGATTATATATATAAATCGGTTATCAGCATCTTCTTGCTGCTAGTAAATACGTGCGGAAGGCAGGTGAGGTGTTGGCAACTTTGGGATATCTGGCAAGCTTTGGAGTTGGTCACTGTGCCTGCTGGTGGGGAGTAGACAAGATGGCCTGCTGTCCCTCCATGGCTATTGTCCTTAAGAGCTTCTTTGGGTGGGACACTGAGCAGTAGGGAGGAGACAGAAAGGTTGGACAAAGGCAAAAAAACTGAGCAGAGGAGGACTGGGTTCAAATGCTGAACTTATTGTCATAAAGGCCAAGTAGGGTGATGGTGGATCCTTGGTGGGCTTGGAAGAATCAGAGAGTTGCAATAAAGGTTTGTGAGTTTTCTGTGTTCGCATATACAAAAGGAGCCTGTGCATTTAGAGCCAGACAGGACTAGATCCATAGTGACTGAGTAGGTTTCTAAAGTGTCGGTTTCTTCATCTGTGAAATGGAATAGGGGGAAGGTTATTTAATGTAACGTTCGTATTACACACACTGCTAGTTGGGACTCAGCAAGCGGTTGATCCTTCCATATCTAATCTGTAATCTCATCTTCCACGAAAAGGCAGGCCTGGAAGCCTGGATCTAACCATACAGGGGTTGGGATGGAGGCTGAGGTGGTGGTGGGGCTGCAGCGAGGGGGTTGTTGTGGAAATAGATCTGGAGACAGGTCATGTTATCTGGCTATCTGGAGGGAGGAATCCTGCTAACAACCAGTAGCGAAGTTAGGAGGACCAGGCCCAGCCTGTGAGGCTTCAGTCCACGCGCAGGCGCTAATATTGACAGCAATCCTCATTAGTATCAGCGATACTAATAATTGCAGGGAGCACCTGAAACACAAGCTCGGCAGGGGCCTGGACCAGCTTCTAGATCCTCTGGTGCCTCCCGGGACCTAGACCTGGGCGTGTCTTCCACAGCTGCTGCCCTCTGGGATGCCCACTGTAGCGCTGAGCATGCCGGCCTGTCCCAGGCAGCCCATTCCTCCTGAGGGTTCTTCACACCCACAGTGTGTATGCAGATTAGCCGGTGGCTGCTGCTGTTTTGTTTTGTCTCCCCCCCCCCCCCCCCGCCGAAAAATCAACTCAGTTCAGCAACTGGCCTCCTTTGGTCAGCGGCGGCTCACCCTGCTTCTTCTCTGCCAGTCTGTCTCCTCAGTGTTCTCTGGGCTGCCCCCTCTCCCTGCTTCTTCTCTGCCAGTCTGTCTCCTCAGTGTTCTCTGGGCTGCCCCCTCTCCCCGCTCTCACCGACTTTTTCTCCTACCAGGATGCCTATTGTCTTAGACCCGAAGAGGAGGCTCCTGTGCCTCTTCTTGCTCCAGCTTGCCTCAGCCCTTGGCCAAGGCAGTTTTCCAGGCTTGTAAACCTTCCAGGTCTTCTTCCTTGACCCTTTTTCTCAGA